CTGTTATTCATGAAAAATACCTTTTATAAAAAAATCACAAACAATAACTTTACAAGTGGACCTCTCCTGATGAACTGCATAGGAATCAGATTGATTACATCTGTGAAAGGAATCACTGGAGAAGCTCATTAACAGCAGTCAAAACCAGGTGCTGTCTGAAGTGCTGACTGCGAAGTCAATCAGCCATTACTCATATGCAAGTTCAAACTGAGGCTGAAGAAAATGAAAACAAGACCACAAGGACCAAAATATGATCTTAGCTTATCCCACCTGAATTTAAAAATCATCTTAAGAATAGGTTTGAAGCACTGAACATCAATGATCTAAGACCAGTTGTCATCAAGGATATCATCCATGAAGAGAAGAGAAAGAAAAAACACATAATTGTTGTCAGAAGAGCCTGAAAATTGCACTAGTGTGTCAAGAAGCTAAAACAATGGGAAAAGATGCTGAAGTAAAGAGATGAACAGATTTCAAAGGGTAGCAAGAAAAGACAAAGCAAAGTATTGTAACAGAATGTGCAGAGAGGTGGAATTGGCGAATAAGAAGGGAAGAATTTATTTGGCGTTTATCAAACTAAAAGAACTGAAAATCAAATTCAAGCCTCAAGCTGCAATACTGACAGATGCCATGGGCATACTCTTGAATGATCCAGGAAGTATTAAAGATAGATAAAATACACAGAGTTACTGTATCAAAAAAGAATTGGTCGACATGAAACAGTTCAGGAAGTACAATATGATCAAGAACCAATGGTAATGAAGGAAGAAGTGCAAGCTTCACTTAAGGCACTAACAGGAAAAAAAAAGGCTCCAATCAATGGGATATCAATTGACATATTTCAACAAACAGATGCAGCCTGGACATTATTACCAGTCTACGCCAGGAAATTTGCAGAACAGCTGCTTGGCCAATTGACTGGAAGAGATCCATATTTGTTCCCATTCCCAAGAAAGATGAGCCAATAGAATGTGGAAATGATCAAACAATAGTATTAATATCACATGTAAGCAAAATATTGCTTAAAGAAATAATCCAAGACCAGTTAGAACAGTACATATAGTACTGCCAAAAGTTCAAGCTGGGTTTAGAAGAGGTATCAGGGATATCATTGCTCATGGAGATGGATTCTGGCTGAAAGCAGAGAATACTAGAAGACTGTCTATTTGTGTTTTATTGACTATGCAAAGGCATATATATGACTGTCGATCCTAACAAGTTATGGCTAACACTGAGAAGAATGGGAATGCCAGAACACTTAATGTGTGCTCATGTGACATTTTTATCAAGACCAAGAAGCTGTTAAGCAAACAAAGCAGGGGAACACTACATGGTTTAAAATTAAGAAAGGTGTGAATCAGGATTATATCCTTTCTCCATACCTAAAGATGTAAAACCTGGTTTTTGCTTTAGTTGTAGAGGGTGAAGTACCATATGCTCCCTGAAGAAAGGTAGGTAATCTCCTCCTATAAAGACTGACAGCCTCAAAAACATAATGGAGGGTCACTATGAGTTGGAACTGTCCTGACAGCAGTGTGCTTGTTTTGGTTTTGATAATTATCCAATAAAACTGTTTTCAATGCCTATAATTTTTGGCCATTTCTACACTATCTATAAATGTTCTGTCACAGAGGAAGGAAACACACATGTTAGGCACCTTGCCTTTCCATGCGTAAGTGTGGAATGTCAGAAGTCTTATTTAACAAAGAAGAGTTTGGTTGTGTCTCAAAGCCTACTTTTTAAAGAAAATGTATAGAATTTTGAAGTTCCAGATAGTCACTTTATCATGGTGAATTAACAGCATCTCTCCAGAGCAAAAACAAAAAGAAGAAGAAGAAGAAGAATATCGATTATTGGGTTAGAATGAGTATTTTATTACTTGAAAGTGAAGAGCAATGATCTGACTCAAGAGCAACAAGCAAAGAAACTTATGATATGGCCAAATTATACATTTTCTCAGCTAATTGTTCTTTACTATGTGATCAGAGATTTCTCTATGTGCCAGCCCTCCAGACTGTGAGAGTTTAGTATGTTGGCCACAATGTGAAGTGTTTTCATATAAGGAATAAATTTAGAGAAGTAGTAACGCAGGCAATGCTATTCGTAAATGTCCTTCTAAAATACTACATAACATGAAAGAGGCTGGCGAGCATTATGCTGAGTGAACCAACTCAGTCTCATAATGATAAATAGTGCAAAAGACCATTATTGTAAAAATAGAAGGTAACTAGTAAGATGTGCACAAAAGTCCAAAGGGGGAAGAGGAGGGAGGAGGAGGACTGAGAATGAGAAGGGGAAAGGAATCATGAGGTTGCAAAGTTGGGTAGACAGAGGGAGGAAGTGAAGGAATTAGGAAAGCTGCAGTGGAGACCTGAAAAAGATGGGGTTATAGTGGTCATAGATCAATTATGACTAATTTTACAAAACACAATATATGGTTGGGAATTATCATATTAAACACATTGTGAATGAAAGGATGTGGGAAAACACAGAGTATATAAATAAAACACAATGTATAAGCATTCTATATACAAATTAATATAAAATAAAAATAATAAAAGAAACAAAACAATAACTAGACAATTTTGAAGTCCGAAGGGTCCTAAACAAAATGCAATGACTGGCCAAACTTGAAATGGAAGCCACCTGTTTATAACCTCTGAGATTCACCAGGGAACTGACACAAACAAGAAAAAGCACTCTCCCATGAAGGGAGAAGAAACATACAACAACAAAGAAATTCAGAACTAACAGAATAGCAACGAAGTACAGTGACCTTTTTTTCATTGTTTCAAGTAATATGACATGTGGGAATTATGCACTGTGCAAACGTCTTCAGATCAAGTCTTTTCTTTCTTGAGAAAGTCTATTTTCACTGTAGACATTTTTTTTCAATCAAGAAAAGTAGATCTAATTTAAATTTTAGAAGCACAACATCTATGGAAAAATGAAAACAAAGCATCTCAGAGTGACAGTTCTGTTAGACTTTCGTAGCATTACTGGTGCATGGTATGGAGTTGATTCTGACTCTTTACAACTCACAAGGCTGTTGTGATCTTTACAGAAGTAACTGCCACATCTTTTTCTTTTGGAGTAGTGGGTGAATTTGAACCTGCAACTTGTTGAGTCATAGCTGAGCATGTAAGCACTGTGCCACTAGGAATCTTCCTATGCATTGTGTTGGTTTTTAAAACTCCATTTCAAATACTGATTTTATTAGAATATTTTTTTACTTTATTGCAATTATTTCTTAATTAGTGGTTTTAAAAATTTCTTTGTCTTATAAAAGATTCCCTACATGTAAAATTAAGCTTACACCCCAATTTATTATACACACACATGTGTTGTGTATATATATTTTTTAATTGGTAAACTGATGTTTGTAAAAACATTTCTCCTTATTGATATACAAATAAATACCCAGATTGAAAAATAAAGAAATAAATCTATAGACATGCATTAATATATTCATATATAAATGGTTCTTTTCCATTAGTCTCTTGTTTTTCAATTGGTAATCCTGAGCAACTAAACTGATTCTTTTATTGTCAGCTGCCATGTAGTCAATTTCCAGCTCACAGCCATTCTGTGTAACAGAGCAGAATAGCCCAATACGATTTTCTAGGCTGTCTGTCATCTTTCTGAAAACAGATATAAAGTTTCTGTGTGGCTTCTAACTGGCAATCTTCAGTTAGCAGTCACCAGACCTCCTCAAAATGATGTTCTAGGCCACAAATTGGTCCCAATTTATAACTTGAAAGCACACTGTTCAAGTGTATAATACACCCACAATTTGTATATTTTACTAACTAGAAAAAAAGCAAGAACCAAGAAAAACTGTTTTATTGACTCTCCAATATATATTTCTTTACAGAAACAGAAGTATCTTTTGGCTTATTTCCTTTATGGTGATGATATTGTACCTTTGAGTTAGAACTGATCCATAGCTGACCCTCCAGTGGGTTTTCAGAAGCGGTGAATCACATGGGAGGAGATTGCCGTCTTTCTTCTGTGAAGCAGCTGTTGTATTCAAACTGAGTGATTTCGGTTGGCAGCACAACTCTCTGCCGCTGTTGTTGTTGGTGCTGTTGTTATGTGGTATTGATCTGAGTATGACTCATGGTGACCATATGAACAATGACTCTGAACCCTGCCCTATCTTGAGTCAACTTCACCATCATCAATACTCATGGCCCCACTGCCACAGTCATCGTGTCAATTCATTTATTCAAGGGTCTTCCTCTTTTGCACTGACCCTCTATCCTTTAAAATATGATGTCTTTCTCCAAAGACTGGCCTCTCGTGACAATATGACAAAGTATGTGACATAAAGTTTCACCACCTTTGCTTGTAAGGAGCACCCTGCTTTCACTTTCTCTGGGGCAGACCTGTTTATTCTCTTGGCAGTTTATGGCATGTTCAACACTCTTCTCCAATACCACAACTCAAAAGTATCAATTCTTTGTCTGCCATCATAGTAAGGAACTGAGAAGACCATGGCTTAGAACAGGTGCACCTTAGTCTTTTGACTAATACTATTGCTCTTTAGCACTCTAGAGAGATCCTTGACAGCAGATTTTCCCAATATAGTTTGTCTTTTGATTTCCTGACTGCTGGTGTCAAGAGTGTTACTGTGGATCTGAGCAAGATGAAATCATTAACTTAAAACCTTTCTCCACCTAAGCCACCCTTTCTCTAGCTAAATTGCTTCTAATACAAGGAATATAAGGAACTAGCACATGTTACATGACAGTGCACTTTTTAAAAATAACCTGTACATATACAGATAATATAATATAGATTAAAGATATAATATTATAGATAATAATACAGATCACATAGGAAACTTGGTAGAAAAAATAATTTCTTAATTCATATTAAAATAAAAACAAAATATTCCCTAGCTCACACATATATGGAATCTGTAAAAAGACGCGATTCTCCACGATTGTGAAATTACACACTTTGAAACTGGATGTCATATTTAAAGGCATGCTTACCTGTCAGTGTAAAGCTAACAAGTTTCCGAGAATGCTGGCTTCCAGAAGCACCTCCTTCCATGCCTTCTGCCCCCATCTGAAGAAGAAAAGCAAGTTATTTCATAGGAGTGTGCTGCTACTTCCCACACCTCCTACAGAACCACGCATGACCCCACATAAAGATGGTCATTGTATCAACTGTAAAATTGGGCCTTATCACTTCTAAATATTGGAACTGGGACACAACAGCCCTCAAAGGCCAGAGAGTCGTTCTTAAATTTAATCTGACATGTAATCAAGCAATTTGAGATTCTAACCTTCCTGAAGAGAAAGCAACTGTCTTGATGCATTTTATCCTTTGCTAAGTATATAACTGATGTGTTTGTTATGCCGTTACATATTGTCAAGTTGGAACCTGCTCATAACTGACCCTCCAGCAAGTTTTCAGAAAACGTGAATTGCTTGGGAGGAGACTGCCTCTCTTTCTCCCTTGAAGCAACCGGTGGATTTGAACTGCATGCCTTCTTATTGGCTGTGCAATTCTTTATCCATTAGGCCACCAAATTCCCAAGTTGTTATGCTGTTATAATTCTATACCACTGAGTTTAAATCGACTCATAGCTGTCCCTGCTGCAGTGGGTTTTCATAGGCAGTTAATCACATGAGAGGTGACTAGCCACCCTTCATCCATGAAACAGCTGGCAGATTCAAACCACATACCTTTGGAACTGCAGTGCAGCTTCTTAACACTAGGCCACCAAATGTAAATGTATTACTATTATACATTCAAACATTTTCTTATGTTTAAAAATAAAACCAAACTTGTCTTCAGATAATTTAAGAAAACCTAAAATACACGAAATTGTTGCTTTACGTCAGATTCTTCCTCTATGTAGAATGCTCCGTTCTTGACAAATATTTCTGAGTGACCACACGAGTGTCCTTTCCTGCTTGCAGGTGTTTGCTGTGTTGTTCTGTAGGCATATGACATATGCTATTGTAAGCAGTGACAAAGTAAATTTGGAGAGTCACTGTGCTGATAACTTGTCCTAAAAGCTTTCAATTAAATGCCATCTTACTTAAAACTAGTAATTTATCAAAAACAGAGCAGAGTTAGGCCTTTATTTCAATTTACATACAACTACTCTACAGTCTATGGAACACTGGGAAGGAGTGTAGCAGGAGAAAAGATGATCATAGCAACACAAGGGCTAGAATTAGGCAGATTATAGTCTGAAGAATTGAGAAGAGAAACATTACATTTTAATTCTAAAGTCTTGGTTATAACTCTTCTATGGTATCCAACTGCATACTCATCATACTACCTCAAAAGTCTTATGCCTCCAGGAGATAATACATGTAAAGGTAAAAATTTCCAATAGAAACTCATCAAGTTTTGGGAACAGAAATTTCTATTCCCTTCTCTACTTTTAACTGCTGGACTGAAAAAGCAAATTCAAAGCTCAATGCCAAAACTCCACTGTGTTTTCACAACTGTGACCTTTCTGAAGCAAGTCACCGATCTTATCTTTTGACGGGCCTGTAAGTGGTTTCAAACTTCCAACTTTTCAGCTAGTAGTCAAGCATCTAAATGTCTGTGCTACCAAAGACCCTTTCCTTAAGACTGCAGGCACTGGAAACCCTCCACAATATGTGGGGATCACCATAAGTCAAAATCAACTTCACAACACTGATTTTTATTTTTATTTTGTCATATAAGTTACAGTCTCTGACTTATCATCATCAGTGAGCGGGAACATAGAGAGCCACAAACCAGTCAGATAAGTGGTGGCTGTAACTATCTCGTCCTGCTTCCCCAGATTCAGAGTGTGGACAGTGAGACAGGACAGACTACAACTGAGACAGACACTTAGCAACCTGCCCTTCCTGTAGCCTGGGTGCAGCCAGATAACTGGCAAACCTGGACTGAACCAGAAAAGAGCCAAAATGGATGCTTGTGTCAAAGGAGTTAAACACAAAAAGAGTCACCATCTACCTTCTTTTAAAACCTACTCAAAATATTATCATGAAGTGTGAAAACCAAAATACACACCTTCTAATTCTTTCTTAAAATGTGATTCACTAGCTGGTAAAAAGCAATCCTGAAACAATTCTCAAAGAATCTGCTGACAAACATTGTCCTTCTCCATCACACTGGTAAAATGCTTATCTGAGATAATTTTCAAGTAATTCTAGGTTATTATCCTTTCCAATAAAGCCAAGAAAGATAAAACATTACAACTATATACAGGGGCGTTGGAGATATCTGTACTCGCTGTTTACAGAGAGAGGTTTTTCTTTTTTTCCATAAACTCATTCCATACATTCATTCCAAGAAAATTCAGATGCAACACAGTCCACTAAATGTTGAGAAGTACATGGTCGTGAGTGATGGCAGCCTTCATCTGCCCCTAAAGCTTAAGAAGTTCCTCTTCCAAGAGTCTAAGACATGTAACACCATGTACTTTCATGAATAATAGTGGTATCAAAACAAAAATGACATAGAAACCATCTTTTTAAAAAATGCTTGACTCACTGTAGCATGCAGGAGCAATGGTTGTGAAAATCACTACCTAAGAGGGTATGGAGAGCATTCTGCTAAGGAATGAATTCAGTCTCATAAGGACAAATGCTGTATAAGATCATTATTGTAGAAACAGAAAGATAAATAGTAAAACATATATGAGGATCTGGGGGGGGGAAGGAGCAGAGGGGTGAGGATGGGAAGTGGGGGTAATCATGGGGTCATGCACTTTGATGGGCAGAGAGAGGGGTAGGTAAAGGAAATGGGAAAGATCTGGTGTGAAAAACATTGTATCCGAACTTTGTAAGTAAACCGGCATAAAAGAAAAAATTTTCTTTTAAAAAAATGTGCGAAAAGAGACCATTTAAGTTGGCAACTTAATTCCTTCCCCATGACAGTGACTTGTTCTCAGCCTGTTTTTGGTATCTGGTTGTGGAAGAATGCCACTAAATGAGCCTTGTGGGTATTAGCGCTGATCACCAATAACTAAACACACATACTCTGTCACCACTGTGCTGTTCCAGACACACAGTCCTCTCTCACTCAGTAATGGCCTATGAGACACAGAGTCACAGTTTCATATACAGAGGCAAATGTCCTCAGCTCAGTCAGATATCTACTGACCGCCAATTCCATTAGTCTGTCTGATCCAAAAGCATTCTGATTCTCAGTGGTGCATCCATGAAGCTTTTAAAGAGCTCTCATACCTGTTTGAAGCAAATTAATTCTCTAAACTACCCACTGGCTTTGACAGAGGGCCCTCAATGCAAAATCAATAGAACACGATCAATGTCCAGCAGGCTGGAAACTCCCACTGTCTTTTGTGACATCTGGATATTGAAGAGGCTCAAGTCTCAGAAAACCTGACTCTGGAATATGCTTAATCAAGTCTGGGAGCTGCTGTCTCATTTCACACACAGTTAAGCCTTCAAAGGCTTTATTATAAATAGCTGCACTTTTCTAGTTTGATACCTTTTAAAAAAAAATCAACTAAAACTTTATTTTTGTGATCATCAAAGCCTTATAAGTAAATGTGGGCTATCTATTCATATTCCATATTATGTAAACATAATTCTGATATAAGGAGAATATGAAAATGCATTCTCTTTCTCTGAAATGTTCCTTCTGTCTCTCTTCACCTTATGCCACTTCACTCATCCTTCAGATTGCCCCTCAAACATGTCTACTTCAAAGAAGTTGTCCTCATCTTACTGACTAGGGTAAATTTCCCCATTATGGGTTCTCTCAGCTGCACTTCACTCTAACTTATAGACAAATGTGCACTGGATTGATAAATCTCCCAAAAGGTCAATGAGGGGAAAAAACCATACCCAATGTCACTGAATTGATGCCTGCACATAATAGTCTTGTAAGGGCTGTGTTTGGTATTTTCTCTCTAGGCAGTGAGTAGAATGCCTAACACTATTTGGCACTCACTAAGCATCTGCTAAATAAATAAATAAAAAGACTATTCAATGCACAGGTATTACAGAAAGCTTTGGGTAAGTCTCTAGGGACAGGTTCAAATGGCACCAGCAGTAGATTAGGACCTGCACTTCAGGGAGTTAATCTAACCAACTAACCCATCTAAGAAGCATTTTAAAAATGCAAAAATCTAGAATTTTACATACTCATACATATGCACAAGATTATAAAGATCTTATGCTATAAGAAGAGAGCTCTGGGGGGAGGGGTTTGTGCAGGGAGAAGGGTGCAACAATGAATGAATGGAATTCCAAAATCTCTGTAGATGTTCATTGAAATGAAAAATAAACAGACTAAATTAAAAAAGACAATGCAAAATATTAAAAAAAAAAGAAGAAGAGAGCTCTGGTGGTCCAGTGGTAAGAAATTGAGCCGCAATCCCAAATGTACACAGTTCAAATTCACCAGTTAATCCAAGGGAGAAGGATGGGCAATCTGCTGTGATTTGCTGTCTCTGAAAACCCACTAGAGGGTTAACTATGGGTCATTTCCAACTAAACACCACACAACAATGAATAACATTATGTAAGAATCAATGGTTTTGCCTAATGCTTCCATAACCTGAATTTTATGAATGACTAATAAAAACTTCAATGATTTACGTATCTTAGACCCCAGAAATCTCTAAAGACCATCTGAATCCAACTACCCATGTACAATGGCGCTGTGTCTTGTAAGGTTATTAGATTCAAAGTTGGTCAATAAGTGAAAAAAATAGCATCAAGAAAAAGAATCTGTAGGAAAGTGCCATGTAGTAAATGGACATACTTTCTTTCCAAAGTGCAGCATAACCAGTTTCCTCCCAAACTATATATAGTAGGACACTGTTTCCTCCATGTGAGACCTGATAAAAACTCTGGCCACTATTTCCTGATTGTGTTTTACTAAAAATATGCACAGTACCTTTATGTACTGGACTTCCAACACAGTATCGAAAGGTCCTGAATTCATCTCACACTCTCTTCAGGAAGAAAGGACTCTACATAGACCAACAGGTTGAATCCCACACTATTTAACATCCCCCCCCCCCATCCTCTCCTTTGTTTTTGTGAAAGTACATCTGAATTTTGAGTAAATCAAAGTCATAATCTTAATTTGAGTCAATTATATCAATTCTTAGAGAGAGCTACGTTGGCCTGGTGGACAGAAAGTTATGCTACCAAGCCACAGGTGGGTGATTTTTAATCTGCGGCCCTCAGGTCGGGTTCAAATTGTTTTCCTGTCAAACATTCTTCTAGGTGGTACAACACTGGTCTGTGCACTGCTGTACAGAGGTAACTTGTGGTTGCTGTGATGCTAAACACTGTGACACTGATAAATCAAATGCAATAATGGTTACCCATGGTGGACAGTGTTTGCTGGAGCTTCCGGACTAAAACAAGCCTGGAAGCAGGAGCGGCATCCATTTCCGAAATGACTTGTCTCCGGAAACTCTATGTACAAACAGTGCTCAGGCCTTTCGTTCATAGGGTCACCATGAGTCACTGACGACTCGACAGCACCTAACAACAACAATATATCAATTCTATTCATTGCATCCCTCTAAGATGCATCCAGAGTAACCTTTAAATCTTTCCATGGTGGCGTATTCACTGCTTGACTCATGAGTAAGTTCCCTGGAGAGTTTATTTACACAGCATGATTATATTCACACCACACTTTTTCACAGACTCATATTATGGATACAGGTATGCCTGCCTTCTAAGCTATTTCCTTTACTCAAATGGCACGCACATTGCTGTGCATTTCCGTTCCATTGTTCCCGTTAGCCTTGCCAGCACTGCACAGACAAACATAGACACCCAGTTCCTCCATGGCCGTGACAAGGAAGCCAGCAGCAAGGCACTCACCATCACAGCAGGGTTCTTCACTGTGATGCAGGGTGTCGTGGCGCGCAGGGCTCCGCTGATGCCGTGGTAGTATTTAAAACAGATTTTGATCTCCGCTGCAAATACATTTGAGAAAAACAGTCATTTTACCACAGAAGCAGTCACTCTGGAATCAGTGGAGAAAATCCTCCACACCACCTCTCAGGCAATCCTACTCGTCAACTCTTGGGGTGATCCCTGCTTTTCCCATGGAGGCAACCCATTTTACCAACTGCTATTAGACTGTATTATTAGACTTTTTCTAAAACTTTCCAAGAAAATCTCAAATATATCAGAAAAATGGTGCACACAAGCCTGTCAAAATAAAGAAGCACAGAAATAAGACTGTTGTTGTGTATGGAGTCAGAATTGACCCATAGTTGACCCTTCAGTGGGTTTTCAAAGGCAGTTAGTTAAATGGGGGGAGACTGCCCATCCTTTTCCCCAAAGAAAAGCTGGTGGACTCAAACCATATACCTCTGGGATTGCAGCACAGCTTGTTACCATTAGGCCACCAGAGCTCCCAAGAATAAAACTAACTTACATTTATCAAAGTACTCTATGATGAAACAGACATAGTGTTCCATTCCATTCCACTCCATTCCATTCCATTCCATTCCACTGCACTCCACTCCACTCCACTCCACTCCACTCCACTCCACTCCACTCCACTCCATTCCATTCCATTCCATTCCATTCCATTCCATTCCATTCCATTCCATTCCATTCCATTCCTATGTTGTTCACTTAATGTGCATATCAGCCAGGAGGCAGAAATGCTTCTCTCCTCATTAAGGATAGAACTGGCAGCTCTTAGTGATACGCAGCTGTGTTGTCATCTCAAAGGCATCCAGTTAGAATCCACCAGCTGTTCCGTGGGAGAAATATGGGCAATCTCCTCCCATGTGATTTACCTGCCTCTGAAAACATGTTAGAGGGTCAGCTATAAATCTGTTCCAGCTTGACAGTACTTAATTATAGATGGGGTGTCGAGGTGTAATGACTGAGTCAGGACTCAAACCCAATGTCTCTGATGCTAACGTCTTACCCGTAACCTCCACAATACAGATGGGTTATGGCTATGAACAGAAACAAAGCATCTGAGCATATCATGAAGGATTTCTATAGCAGACTCTCCAGGGACAGTGCCTTGGAATTCCATTGGTTCAGTTTTTCAAATGACTAACTGAAGCTAGTAGATAGGGATCAAATATAGGAACCACTGGCCTATATACATCACATAACTTCTGGAAAATCTATTTCATTACCATTGAGCCCAAACTAACTCATAGCTGACCATCCACTGGATTTCTAACACTGAATTGCAGAGTAGGAGATGGCCCACATCTCTCCCACAGAGCTGTTGGCAGATTCAAACTGCCAGAGAACTGGTCTTTAGAAGTAAAACTCCCTACAGGAAATTTATTTTGTTAAGTTGAGCATGATGAAAAGCCTATGTCAATTATGATTCCTAGAAAGTAACGATTCCAAAGAACATGAAGCCAAACACTGCCAAGGTAAATGCCACAGTCCAGGAAATGTCTCTGGATAATGAGCGTTAGAGTTTCTGAAATATAAGGACAAGACACATGGTTCCCCAGGTGTCATGCCATACAGACAACAGTGTTAACAGGCAGACTCCCAAGAGAGACACTGAGGCTACAAGAGTGGAGTTCCTCTCCAATTTAGCTACCTTGGAATGATAATCAATAACTGGCTCTTCAAGTTATTGCTCCATGAAAGATGATATTCAACTGAGCTTTATGGCTGCATCAAATGGTCTTACATAGAATATTTGGTTTGTGTGCTTTAAGGCAAGATATAGTGATTAAAGAGAAATCCTCTTTTAAGAACCTATCTTTTATGATTTTCCTATAAATATTTAAACACAAACCTCCCCTGTGAAAAAAAAAAGTTTTATCATGGGGTAAAATACTGAGTTCCTCTATATGGACATTAATCACTAACTCACAACCAGTAGCTAATAGTATTAATGAAAGATCTTTACTCTACATGCATTAAGCACTCTGGTGGTACAATGGTTAAACATTTACCCGATAACTGAGAGGGTGGTTGTTTGGATGAAACTGCTTTCATAAAAAAACATGCAGCACTGCATTGAAAAACAAGGAATTCCTGTAATATTATGCAAAATGGATGACCCTGGAGGACATTATGCTGAGTGAAATATCTCGGTCACAAAAGGACAAATATAGCACAGTGCCACTGCTGTAAAACGGGACTGACATCAGGGTTGAGGAAATACAGAAGAGGGGAGGAATGATGTACATTGCATTGAAACAGATGAGGGAGAGATCTGTTTAAAAGGGATATATGAATGGGTATTCTTATCATGACAGGAGTCCAGAGTGAAGACTGCCTAGTGAAGTGGACTTGAGCGGAGGAATTGCATAAAAATGAAAGAGTTTTTTTTTTTTTCAAGGAGAAGAGGGGGTGGGTAGGGAGAAAAGTGCAACAATGAATGACTGGAAAAAAATGTGTAGTTATTATGAAATAGAATGGATGTGAAAGTATACAATAAACAAATAGCTACAATACATGCCCAACACTGTGGGAGGCATTATAAGAGATCCAAGAAAAGGTTCCAAAATGTAGTCTATCATGAAGCTTATTGTTGTTGTTGTTGTTGTTATGTGCTGTCCAGTCTCCTGAGACTCATAGTGACTCTGTGTACAACAGCCCTAAATCCTGCTCTATCCTGTGCCAATCTTATTGTCTCTGACACACCTATTCCCATTACTCCAGTCACTGAATTAATCCATCTCATCGAGGGTCTTCCTCTCCTGCACTGTCCCTCCACCCTCCCAAGCATGACGTCCCTCTTTGCAACATGTTCAAAGAATGTCAGATGAAGCTTCAGAACGGAGATTAAAATTACAAATAGGACAAAAACACAGAAGACAAACAAATAAACAAAGGGAGCACTGGACACAAGAGTGTCCAGATCAAGGAGAAAGCTGGTAAAGATATGGCAGCATCAGAAAGACTTCATTGAAATAAATAAGTCTCAGGAGAAAAATGGGGGAGGGAGAGTCAGGGAGCAAAACCATGAAGCCGGTTTCCATAAATGGGACAGGTCTGAGGACCAGCAAGAGGACGTAGGCAAGAGGACGTAGGCATGAATCCTAACTCTCTTATCACTTCCCTTCTCTGAGAACAATGCCCTTCCTTATTTCAGCACGTAACTTTCCTGAACATTAACTCTTGCTTGTAAATTTCTTTTTAATCAAGTAAGAGGTGTGAGCCAGTTTTATTTTCCCATGGCTTTCTTCCAAGATCAATGGCATGCACTATCTAAAAACAAATCTATGTGATGCGCACATGGACTGTCAGAACAGAAAAAGCTGAGTGGCACTTCCGTGACTTCCGTGGGCATGAACCCATTAGTTCCATGCTAAAGATGCTGGGGTAACTGGTGATGCATCAATCTTCCTGCAGCAGCGCCTCATACATCAAAACAATAGTGAGCGAGAGACGAGCAGGTAATTTTTCATTAAAGAGATGCACATTTTTAGAAAACATTTCCCCTAACTCCCTCTCAACTTAGGAAGCCATCTGCTATTTTCTACATTTTAATAGCCATAAAGGTAACAGCCTGTGAAAGAAAGGAAAGAAAATGATGCTTATGTTTATTTGTAGGATAACGGGGTGAGCTTTGCTGGATGATCCATGAAGGGGTTATTATTTTATTCACTACCATTATAGAAGTCTCCGACGGGGATGACAAATTAGAATCTCTGAAACACTAAGACAAACTTGAATTTCACAAGGCAGATTTTGTGAACATGTTTCACCAAACACATTATGCTAGGGATAGTTTCACAGTGCTTTAGAGCTAAGTGAAAATTCAGGGAGATTTATACAGACCATATAGTGAAAAAAACAAGCACACAGCCTGACCATCAATGAAAGAGAAGGGGGTAAAAAAAGAAAAACAACACTGAAGAGACTCAGGAGTCACATGTGATCGGGCTGAAATTAGCCAGTTCTTTTGATAGGCCAAAAATGAAGGCATCTGCCCCCTTAACTAATATGGGAACAGGAATTTTCACATTTAAGTAGCATTTGCTACTACAGAGAGTTCATCACTCAAGAGGGGGAGAAAACTATGTAACTAAACATTCACTTTAGAGAAAAGGGCATTTTGATTAAGGCACATAAACATTTTGGTAATGGAAAGAGGTAGCCAGAAGTATATTCAAAAGGGCGGAAAAGGAAATTAGGTCTATTCTTCTTTTTCAGTGACAATCTGTAGCCAGTGAATTTAAGCAGTAAAAAAATGCAGGAAAAAGCAAATACAGACATGGAGAGCAAGCTTCAGATCTGGTACAGGTCAGGCACAAGAGTTCTGTCACAGATAAGAGATGGAAAGGCAGAAATATGCAAAGACAGAAAGATGGAAGGAGATGGAAATATTTATATTCCCAGTGACATTCATATTTCCAGTGAGTGATGGGATAATATCCATATGCATACAAGGAAGACCTGTTAATACCACTATCATTCAAATGTATGTGCCTATAATTAGAGCCAAAGAGGAGAAACAGATAATTTCTATCAACTCTTGCAGTCAGAAATCGATTGAACATATAACCAAGATGCTTTAATAATAATGGGCAACTGGAATGCAAAAGTTGGGAATCAGGAAGAAGGATCAGTAGTGGGAAAATATGCACTTGGTGACAGAAATGAGGCCGGGGAGAGAATAACAGAATTTTGTACAATTAATGATTTATTCACAGCAAATACCTTTTATAGGAAACATTAACATGGCCTATATACATGGATTTCATCTGATGGGATGCACAGGAATCAGACTGATTACGTCTGTGGAAGATCACTGGAGAAGTTCAATATCAGCAATAAAAACTAGTCCAGGTGCTGGTTTGTGGAAAATACCATCAACTGCTCATATGCAAGTTCAAATTAAAACTAAAAGAAGGTTATAGCATACCCACAGGAATCAAAATTTTACCTTCAGTCTATCTCCTATGAATAAAAAACCAATTCAGGAATAGGTTTGAGGTCCTGAGCACTAATGAATGAAGACTAGATA